ATGGGGAGACTGTTTTGGATTATCTGGGTAGGCCCAAGCTAATAACATGAGTTCTTATATAAAGAAAACCCTCTCTGATATGGTCAGTCAGAGAGAGAGTTTTTTTCAAAGGAATAAGAACCAGAAATGTGATGTTAGCTGGTTTTAAAGATGGAGGTAGGGACCACAAGCCAAGGAGTGTAAGTGGCCACTGATGGTGGTTATGTGCCATGGTCAGTTCCAACTCAGGGTTTCTGAGGTTGTAATTCTTTTTTTTTTTTTAAGGCTGTAAATCTTTATGGGAGCAGAAAGCTTCATCTTTCTCCTGTGGAACAGCTGGTAGTTTTGAACTGCTGACCTTGAAGTTTGCAGCCCGATTCATAACTACTACACTATGGAAAAAGCAGGGAAACAAATTCTACTTTAGAGGCTTCAGAATGCAGCCTTGTTGACACCTTGGTATTAGCCTGGTGGGACTTGTGTTGAACTTCTGACCTCTAAAATTGTAAGATAATTAAGTCGTGTTTAGTCACTAAGTTTGTGATAGTTTGTATGGCAGTAGCAAGAAACTCATAAGTGGGTCCACTGCAAAGCAAGCAGCCTTGCCATTGGGATTTGAGGGCCCTTCAAGTGTCTGTGGCTGAGCGGGATGCTATACGGGGCCTCTGGTTTTGGAGCAGAGCCATGCCGGCTTCTGCACCTCACCATCCTCCTGCTCTCTACTGGATCCTCTGGAGACTGAAGCTTGAGACTAGGACGCCAATGATGATGGGACTGGCTACCACCAGGAGTTGCATGCTGTTGCTTATCTCCTGTCTCCTCATTACTAGTAAGATGTGACAAATGAGGCAGAGTTTGCCGTCTGTCCTATTCCCTGATGAATCCTAAATGCTCCCAGCAGTGTTTGGTGCATAGTAAGTACTCAATATCTATTAAAATGTGTTAAATGAATGAGTTGATGTTGTTGTTACGTGCTATTGGGTAGGCTCCAACTCACAGTGACCCTACACACACCAGAACCAAACACTGCCTGATTCTGTGCCATCCTCACAATTGTTCTGTTTGAGCCCATTGTTGTAGCTACTGTGTCAATGCATCTCAATGGATTACCAAGCAGGATGTCCTTTTCCAGGCATGGGCCCTTCCTGATAACATGCTCAAAGTACATCCTCGCCTCTACGGAATTTTCTGACTATACTTCTTCCAGATGTGTTTGCTTTTCTGGCAGTCCATGTTACTTTCAAGATTCTTGGCCAACACCATAATTTTATATAAATATATTTAATTGCACTTTATTGACTATGCAAAGACATTTGACTATGTGGATCATAACAAACTATGGATAACATTGCAAAGAATGAGTATTCCAGGACACTTACTTTTGCTCATTTTAAACCTAGGCATAGACATAGAGGCAATTGTTTGAGTACAACAATATCATTAATAGCACAGGTAAGTAAAATTTTGCTGACAATAAGCCAAAAACAGTTGTAACAATACAGAGATAGGCAGCTGTCAGAAAATTAAACCAGATTCAGAAGAGTACATGGATCAAGGGATATGACTGATGACATCAGATGGAGTTTGGCTGAAAGCACAGAATTCAAGACATTTACTTGTGCTTTATTGATTATGTAAAGACATTCAACTTTGTGGCTCATTGAAAGCTATTAATAGCGTTGCTAAGAATGGATATTCCAGAACATTTAATTGTGCTCATGAGAAATCAGGACTGTATCCCCTCATTATATATATTCAGTATGTATGTTTAGCAAATAATCTGAGAAACTGAATTATATGAAGAAGATGACATCAGGTTTGGAGGAGCACTCATCAGCAACCTGTGTTATGCAGACGGCACAAAATTTCCCACTGGAAGTGAAGCGATCTTGAACTACTACTATTAAGATCAAAGACTACAGTCTTCAGTATGGACGGCACCTCAATACAAAGATAACAAAAAATCATCACAGCCGGACAATATGATGATGATAAATGGAAAAATGAGTGAACTTATCAAGGATTTAATTTTGCTTGGATCCACAACCAACACTCATCGTAACAGCAATCAAGAAGTCAAATGATGTATTGCATTAGACAAATTTGCTGCAAGAGACTTATGTGCCTCAAAAGATTTTACCAAAAGAGTAAAAAGGAAGCCCACCGACTAGGAAAATTTTTTTTGCCAGCAATGAAAAGGACAGGGAAAGAATAAAAGGGTCCTGGGATATTGTGCTGAGCCTGGAAGTATTCAGGGAATGACGGCAGATGTCAAAAGGATGGGGGAGTCTGTCTTAAGGAGTTCCCACTGGCCAAATCTGGGATGATTTGAGCATCAAAATAAATAACCATGGATAGATACATAAATGTGGAAGAAAGGGTTTTTACAGTAGAAAACCAACTAATAAGTTTAGAAGGAATGATGGCATTAGGAAAGTACCCTTTGGCAACAATCATCATCATCATCATAATAATAATAATAATAAATTCAGGCAAGAAATTCAATGCATGTAGGCATTCACAGTTGAAAGAGGGATGAAGAATAGAACTTTCCATTGTCTCTCCCCATAGGTGTGAGTATCTGAAAGTATCTCCCCACAAAATACGTGTGAGTTTGGAAGGAAAAAGGAACTCTCCTTGAAGAGACCAGGCGGACACCATTTCAGTTAAGTGGCCTAATTCATTCCCGCAATGTGGACCCATTGTGCTTGGCTCCACAATCAATGATCATGGAGGCAGCGGTAAAGTAACCTAAAGATGTATGGCATGAGGCCAACCTGCTTCGAAAGACCTTTTTAAAATGTTAAAGAGCAAAGAAGTCAGTTTGAGGACTAACCCAAGCCATGGTATTTTCAATCATCACATATATATGTGAAAATTGAACAATGACTAAGGGAAGACTAGAGAAGAATCCATGCAGTTGAATTATGGTCTGGGTGAAGAATATTGAAAGTACCATGGATGGCCAGAACAAACGAATCTGTCTCGGAAGAAGTATAGCCAGAATGCTCCTTAGAAGTGAAGATGACAAAACTTCATCTCTCACACTTAGGACACATTGTTTGAAAGCACCATTCCTGGAGAAGGGCATCATGCTTGGAAAAGTAGAGGGTCACAGAAAAAGAGGAAAACTCCCAGGGAAACACAGCAGCAGCAACAATGGGCTCAAACATAACAACTGTGAAGATGGTGCGGGACTCAGCAGTGTTTTGTTCTGTTGTACGCAGGGTCGCCATCAGTCAGAATGACACCTAACAACAACACACCAACCATGAAGCGACAAATCACCAACGTGTGCCTCATGATGGGACACCTGGAGAAAGACAGGGCATTATTTCTGTGGTATTTTAGCCAGAAATCTCCAGGAAACATCTAACAAAGTCAATTTGAGGGGCACAAGTAGCCTGTAATCTTTAAAGAAGCCAAAGTCATAAATGTCCCAGGAAAATTGAGAGCTTTCCTTGGTTGGAGGAAGCTGGAGAGGTTTGAGGAGATGATGCACATGCCAAATTGGGTCCTTTCCTGATAAAGGACACGAGTGTGGATGTTCTTACTGCTACTCTGCTTCCCCTCTGGAAGCTGATGGTTGTGAGAAGCTAATGATTGGCTCTGATCCACAGAGACTCCACTCACAACAGAACAAAACCTGCCCAGCTCTGTGCCGGCCTCATCATCTCTGCTGTACATTTGCTTCACCAAGCGCCATGTCTCTCTCTACGGATTGGTCCCTTCTGATGACATGTTCAAAACGGACTGGACAAAATGAAGTGTAAATTGCTTGAAATAAAAAAAAAAATTTTTTTTTAATGCAAATGGACAATCCTAGTGACCCAACAAAGGTAGGGTCCCAGGGTTTTACCTCACTGCCCAAGAACACTGACCTCTCTGGGGCTGAGTGGAGAAAGGAAGGTATGGGTGCCGTAAGGACTGTAGTAACCCCCCCACACCCCATTTTCTTCCTTGCTGTCATGTATATTTGCATACACACCAATCAGCGCTCCTGTCCCTGCCGTCCTCTCCCTTCTATTTCACACAGGGTACATGATGGCTGTGACCTTCATCCTTAGTCCAAAGGTCATGGGGTATCAAGTTGGAGGTAAAATGAGAGAGACTGAGTCAGGTGCCAATGGATCTCACTTATGGGCGGAGGGGACACATGATGTGATTTGAACCAGGGCCAGCTGTGTTCCATTAGAGTCAGCAGTGTGGGCTGTAGCTGACTTTGCAGGCCTGGTCCAGGGACCTCAGTGTGCCTTCTGGAACAGCAGCTACTGAAGAGCTTACGAGTGGATTTCCCAGATTTTTTTTGCAGTAAAGGCTATGGACTGTGTTGCTTCGGCTATTCAGGAGCTCAGGTAAGTCCTCTACTCGGGCTGGGCCTCCATCCGGAGAGACAGGGCCATGGCCGACATACAATGGCAGAGGGACCTGACTCTGATCCATGGCCCTAAAGCACATCCTGCTTCTCAGCCTCCTGCCAATGCTGACAAAGGCAGCAGCTCCTTGGGGGTGACAGGACTTTCTGTTTCTCCAGGTCTCCCACTCACTCTGTGAGCCACTTATACAGCTAGTTGGCATTCGGGCAACCTTGGGTATGTCAGAGGAGAACTGTGCTCCCCAGGGTTTTCTTTCAATTGTTTGCAAGGCAATCTCCGGGCCTTTCTTCCTAGTTGCCTCTGGGTGCACTGCAACCTCTAATTTTTTGGTTAGCAACTGAGCCCATAACTTGTTTGTACCACCCAGGGACTTTTGAGTTCATGTATTTGTTAGTTGCTGTCAAGTTGGCTCCAATTCCTAGTGACCTACACAGAGTCCACTGATATGCTTGAGCCCATGCCAGTGGACTGTAGCAGTTCAGTCAGTTCGTGGAGTGTTTCTCTTCTGTTTGTGGATCCTCTGCTTACCAATCATGAGGTCCTTTTCTAGCAATATGTCTTTCTTAATGACAAGTCTCCACAGTAAAGTCAGTGTCTTGCTTCTCAGGAACATTCTGGTTGCAGTCCCCCCAGCCCTGCACTTACTCATTCTCCTTCAGCGTGGAGGTGATGCTCAACTGCAGGTCTCGCTCATTGTCCAGTTCCATGCACAGGCGGCTGTAGGCGGCCTGCAGGCGCCCCACGGCAGCACTGCAGGGCAGGTGGCCAGGAAAGGAGAGAAGGTGGGAAACCAAGTGAGAACCTTTAAACATATGGACATCAGAGAGACTTCCTGTGGCCTACACTCACTCTGGAATCTTCCCTATGTCCATGTGATGGCTTTACCTTGCCTTGTTTTCATCACTCAGTGAAAAATCCATCTACACACACACCAGCCCTCCTCATGGACCTGTTTACACGAGGCATTGCAGCTCACTGCCTTGGCAAGTCCCCAACCCACAGGGGCTTGGGTTCCACTAGAATGCTGGCCCTTGATCACCAGAGCTCTGTACAGGCCTGTCATTTCCTCTATAGACACTGGGAATGGTTCCCTTGAGGGCCAGGTCTTCATGTGGCAGGCCAGGCTGTTTCTGGCTGGGGAGAGCATGGTGGACAGGCACGTCTGCTGCAAGACCTGAGGAGTGGGGTGGCTGAGAAATCTGGAAGGGCCTCCTGGTTTCTACTGGCCATGACTTCTTGACTTTGTCCCCCTCTCCCTTCCCATGGTCATGGCTGCCTCAGTGCACCAAGCCAATCAGCCAATGCTCAGGGAGTTGTGAATGGACATCCTTCTCAGCCACAGCCAGCACCCACCACCCAGTGCTCGGTTGTGCAGGAAGAACAGGTAGGTGGGACCTTCTCTATGACACCCAAGGGAACTGCTCAGGGTGTCTAGCTTTCCCCAGTGACCTCTGTGTGTGGACAAGGACAGTGCTGGGAAGAGGGAATCTGAGCAGGCTCAGTCCCAGCAACCTTGGTAGATACCTGGCCTATGGGACCCACCTGTACAGAGCACTGCCCAGGTGCCAGGACCCTATCACAGCCAGGGCTGTGGGCTCACCAGGCCCAGGACCTTCGGTAATGCCCTGAGACCCCTCGAGTCAGGGGCCTGGTGTCAGCCCATTCAGTCCTCAGCTTTCTCTATCCCACAGCACAGGGCTGGTTAGAACCAGTGCCCTGGGGCTGGAGTGCCGGGACCAAGACGGCTTGTCCCCTATCAGGAGGTGACTCTGGACAAGCCACTGAGTGTCCCTGCACCTGAGCGTTCTCATCTGTACAATAGTGCCAACCCCAGGGTGCTGCCACGAGGATCACAGGAGCTGAGGCGAATTTAGCTTTCCTGCTTGTAGTGACACTCACTGTGTGTCATAAGCGTGGGCCACTTGCCAAGCAACACCCTGCCCTCCCTCCCTCTAGCTGAGCCCAGGCTTGAGTGTCACATCCTGGCAAACACCACCCACCCTGCTGCTCATGACAAATGGCAGTTCGGATGCTGAGATCTGCCCACCACACCTGGCTCTGCCCCCTCTCTCCTTCCTTCTCCTGCCCTACCCTGGCTACCTCCCCATGGCCAGCCACATGCACCCCTACCCTTTCACCATGACCTGGCCTATCCCCACCCCACTGCCCTGGGCCATGCCCACTGAAGCCCTCCCAGCCCATCACATCTGGCCCTGTGTGGAGAGTTTCATGGTGATTGCATGCCCCCGTCTCATGGGGACCATGTTCTAGCCCCTCCACCCAGAATGTTCTTTCCCCGGGTGACCACATGGCAGCCTTGTTCTGGTCACTCAGGTCCCATTTAGAGTTGTCTCCAGAGATAGCCCTCCCTTTTCACCTCAGCATTTTGTGTGGCGGTTTCGCGCACTGCACGAGGCTTGTCTGCCCGAGTACATCAGGCACTTCATAAACAACAGTGGACCAGGTGAAGCTCTGCTGACTGATGCTGATGAGCCAAGTGACAAATGCCAGCTTGGCACCCAGCTACCTCCTGGGTGCCAGCACAGACACACCACCCACCAGGCGACTTGGAGGGAGATCGGACAGCCGGCAGGACACCAAGACCTACATGTTATTGGCCTCCTTCTCTGCATCAATCTCTGCCATCATGGCTTCCTGCTGTCTGGTGATGAGGTCGATCCTCTGGCGGCAAGCACGCAGCTCCCCTCTGGAAATTGGGACGAGACCCGGGATGAATGACTCTTGTAGCTCAGTCATTCCCCTTTCCTGGCGCTTGCACTATGCCCGGTCTCAGGGTACGTGCAGTGGGCAGTGGGGATGCTGGCCAGGCACACTCCCCAGTCCAGTATGTGACTTGTTCCCAGGGCTCTCCCTAACTCACTTGAACTTAGAGAGATGTTGTTTTCTGGAAACCCTGCTGAGGGGGGCACCCCTGTGACCTCCACTCCAAGTGAGCAAACATGCTCTCTGTAGCTGAGGAAAAGGCCATGAATGGGGGAATTTACATGGATTGGCATGAGTAAGAAACCTCTGGCTACCCGAACACCCTGGTTACAGTGTGTGGGGGCTGCAGAGACCATGGACCACAGCTCCTCGGCATTCTAAAAACACACACTGAAGAAAACAAATAACTAGCCTCAACCATGTGGAACTGAACTGAGTCCTGGCCTAAACCTTTGCTCTAAAAGTCACCTGGGGATCATGCATGGGACCACATCACGACGCTGCTACAGAATGCACATTGTTGTTGTTAAGGGCAGTCAAGCCGGTTCCAATTCATAGTGACCATGTGTAAGGGGGTTTCTGAGGAGCAGCTGGTGGGTTTGAACCACCGACCTGTAGTTAGCAGTCCAGCACCACACCAGGACTCCAGGATGATAATAGAAAAAGGAAAAAAAAAAAAGTTGACATCAACTCAACTCTGACTCACGGTGGTCCCACGTGTGTCAGAGCAGAACTGTGCTCCACAGGGGTTTGAGTTCAGTGGCTGATTTTTCGGAAGTATATTGTTAGTGTTAGACCTTTTCTTCAAGGCACCTCTGGGCAGAATAGAACATGCAATCTTTTGCTGATCAGCATCGTTCACTGTGCCACCAGGAATCCCAGGCGGACATTGTTATTGTTAAGTGCCATTGAGTCGATTCTTACCCATAGCGACCCTGTATAGGGTTTCTGAGGAGCAGCTAGTGAGCTTGAACTGCCCACCTTGCAGTCTGGTGCATTAGCCCACTGTGCCACACCAGGAGGATATTAGGGAAGCATTAGTTGTTTTCTTAAACGTAGCAAAGGTGCTGAGGTTGTGCACAAGAATGTCTTTATTTCTAGGAGCTGCTGAAGTGGTTAGGTGTAAAGTACCATAATGTTTGTGACTTGCTTTTAAATACATCAGCAAAAATAAAGTATGCCTGTAAAGCACACACAGGAAGAAGCACCAGCGTGATCCTGGCATTGGTTCGAGGCGATGGCGTCCAGTTGCCTGCCGTATGAATTGTTTTCTATGTCTGACATTTTCCTAGGTCAGCGATGGGGAAGTATCTTCTCTCAGGGTCAGCCCTAATCAAGGTGGGGCTACCAGGAAGCAGCGCTGTGGGCAGTGTTCGGAGCCCACCAGTCATCCTGGGCCTGACAGGGCTTGGAGCACAGTCTAGGAGAGCAAGGGAGTGGATCTCCCCAAATGTGATGGGACCAGAGGAGGCACAAAGGAGCTGGCTGATCTGGAAGTCCACTGCCTGCTGCGTGGGCAATTGCAGAAGGGCAGGAGACCCCATGGAAGGGCTCTCAATCCCTGTCACAAACTGTCTGACAGCAAAACCACCTGCCAACAGAACAGGCAGCCCAGCCTCTAGCCCTCTGCACACGGTGAGCAGACAACCCAGATGGTGGAGGGGCGGAGGAGAGGTTGGGCTCCAGTCAGTTAGGAGACCCCTGGGAACACGGTGTAACCAAGGCCCCATCCTGGACTGGGAAGTGTGTCTGACCACCTGCAGAGCCTGGGAGGGTGAGGGAGAGCAGTGGCCCAGAGGCACCCACCTGGTTTTCTGAATGAAAAGGTCTTTCTCTTCATGCACCATATCCAGATGGTTCAGAACCTTTCTCAGGTGCAGAGTCTGAGCTCTGTCTTTGTCAGCTCTTTTCGTCTTGGGTTTCTTGGTGTCAGCATCTTGCTTTTTCCCTGGACTTCAAGTAAATAGGGTACCAGCTGCCATTTCCATCTACCAGGCCCTGATCCTTCTCCAGGGGCCCCGACCGGTTCACTCCAGGCTCCCCCCATTTCTGAGGGTGGTGGAGGTGAGTGAAGGGGAGTTGGCGGTAACCAAGGTTGATTACCAGGAGTATTCCAGCACAGCATCACTCTCTGATTCCTGAGGAGAAGCTTCAACCTCAAACACTGGACTCTTTACTCCACTTGTGTCTAGAAATCAAGGCAAGAGTTAGAATAACAGAAAGTTGGTGTTAAGTGTTCAGTCTGACTATCTAGTACCAATTCTTGCAATGAGATGAGTTCCTTTATGGGTCTTTTGCCATAGGGCTTTGGAAAATCCATTTGGGAGATTTTCCTGCTAAGCCCTGAGGAGTTCTCTCTGCCCTAGTTTTCTATCCAGAGGGTTTGTTGTGTTACTTTTGTCCCTGTTGATTGACATTTCCTAGGCAAACTATAAATAACTCGGTTTTGCTATTTTTTGTCTGGTCCTGGGTTGTTGCTTGTCCCGTAATTGGTTATTCACCTTGCAGGGAATGGTCAATTACTATGCAAATGATGTGAATTGTAGTAATTATGCAAATAAAGTGTTTGTAGCCAACCAAGATGGGATTGCCATGTTTGTCTCCTGCCACCTTTCTCCCTGAGGGGCCATGCCTTAAAACAGATGAGGAGTGGTGTATATAAGCAGCCAACCTCAGGTTTTTTGAGACAGAAAGAGAAGCTATAGGAAGAAGCAGAAGGAAGAAAGGAGTGAAGCAGAGAAAGAGAGAGAGATGAGGCCAGGATCCTGTATATAACTCTTACCATCTAACCTTCAGTTCTTGGGACTTGAGTCAGCAAGTCTTGGGATTCATTAGAATCTTCAGTGTACGAGTCAGCAGCCTATCATTTTACCTGTGGATCCTGGATTGGTCAGCCTCCACAGTCTGCGAGCCAGCAGCCTGCTGTCTGGCCTGACAATCTTGGGTCATTAGCACCTGCAGTTAATGATGTGACAGAAACCACCTCCAGTCTGATATGTCTGCCTCTAAAACCATGAGAGCTATTTCCTTATGATCTCTCTCTCTATCTCTCTAACTTCCAGACTAAGACAGACTAGGAAAAAGGAGAGGTAGACTATTTCTGAATGTTAAACCTCTGAAAATCTTGTGAATAGCAGTGCAACACTGTCAGATAGCACCAGATTATTGAATATTGAAGCATGATGAAGAACACCACAATATTGTTTGATATAATGCTGGAAGAAGAGATCCTCAGGTTGGAGGGCATTCAAAGTACGACTGGAGAAGAGCTGCCTCCTCAAAGTAGAATTGCCAGTGATGGTGTGAATGGAGTAAACCTTTTGGGACCTTCATTTTCTGACAGGCCACAACTCAAAATGAGGAGAAACCATTGTAAGCATTCTTAATAATTGGAACATGGAATAAAGAAGTATGAATCTAGGAAAATAGGAAGTTGTCAAAAATGAAATGGAATACACAAAGATTAATATCTTAGCCAGTAGTCAGCCGAAATGGACTGGTATTGGCTATTTCGAATCTGACAATCATATAGTTTACTATGTCGGGAATGATAAATTCAAGAGGGATGGTGTCATATTCATCATCAAAAAGAACATTTTAAGATCTATCTTGAAGTATAATGGTGTCTGTGACAGGATACTATCCATATGCCTACAAGGAAGACCTAGAAGAACGATGAAGCTTTCTCCTCCCATAAAGATTTACAGTTTTGGAAACTCTATACAAGGTCTCTATGAGTTGGAACTGACTCCATGGCAGACCACCATCACAAGGAAGACCAGTTAATACCATTATTATTCAAATTCACTCA